CAAAATAAGGCAAACATTTAGGTAGTATAAAGTAATATCTTGTCGTCTTAATTGTCTACAATTTAATTGGAAAAGTCCAATAATGGCGTAATAACATTAGTAACATTGCAATAATATAAGGCATTTATAAAGGCCCAATTGGTAAATACAATTCGGGATTGAAAGTTACTCCAATGGCCCAATCGTTCGAGCCTATATACGAAGTACGGAGTATTACGTAGTCCGTAATTTTGAAATTTCCTTAGAAACCACTTTTTATGTTTTTCAAAGATATCACTTTTAATACAATAATGAAAAAAAATTAAACTATGAGTAAAACATTGAAAATAAATGAAAATAGGGGTTCTATATTTTTATTCTCGAAATAGGAGTTAAAATGTATTTATATTACTAATCGTGAAAATATATATTACCAAAAAGTATTATGAAAAATTAATGTACAACGTCACATTATCACCGTGCAAACTCATATTTTTAAAATAAACTACGAAGCTTATATTTCTATAATTTTTCTATGTTTTACTTCTATTTAGGATGGTTTCTTAAACATAATTTTAAAATTATCTTTGTCTCCCTTTTTTTACAACATCTTTGTCTCTTTGATGTTAAGTTTTGTTCAAAAAGCCATATTTCATATTTAATATTTTTTATAAAATCATCTTTAAACAAATTAAAATACAACCACCTATTAATATTTTCTTCACCCCAATTTAAATCGTATGTTGTTTTTTACGAGATTTTATTAAAATTATTTTCAATTTATATCATTTGAAAATATGTGCAAAATTGAAAAATATTACTCCGGGTATATTTTTAAAAACTACATCTAAAATTTTACAAAACTAGTTGTGAAATGATTATATTATTATATCAAATGAGAAGCAAAAAAAGGTAGTTAAAGTGGTTAGAATTTGACACCGTGAATAATAAACAAGAAACTTAAATTTAGACGGAAAAGGTATTTAATTTTGTTTTAAATTTATACTTTTTAAAGAAATCACATTTCCAAAAAAATCGAAGAAAAATTTCATAATAAAAAATTATTAACTAAGTTTCTTTTTTAAAATTATAAAATAATTTTTATTTTGAAATTTTCCGCTTATTAAATCTAATGATCAAATGTTGTGCCTTAAATTGTTGGGAAATTCTTATGCATCTTAATGTTCATGTTCATTTTATAAATCTTGGTGCATTGATATCATAAAAAATTAGACCTTTTGCAAAAAAAAAAGAAAATATTCAATTATAACTCATAAAAGGAGAAGTAGAAAAAATAGCACTAGAGTATGTGATTGATAATTTGATACTCAAAATAGCACTCCCATTGAGAATCGAAGTCCCATATAGTGTTGAGTGCTTGGAATACCAATTTTGCCCTTTTATAATAAAAACTCCTGTCCCATAAATAATGCCACGGTTACTATTCTGGCATCTCGATAACTTTTGTTTGTTTACTCGTTTTGGTTGGTCATTTGATAAAATAAAATATTCTTGTCGCATCTTGTTTTGTAGAATTTTTCATGTACTTTTGAATGGTGTAATTTTTATTTTTTAATACTCTACCAATTTGAAATATAATGCTTTTAAAAGAGACGATATTTTGCATGTCGTTCAAAATGTTCCAAATAATTTGGGACAGAGGGAGTACTTGAGATGTGATTCACCTAATTTATGGCAATTAACGCCAGGTTTTGTGGTTTACGCCATATTCACCCATTTCTTTAGCGCGAGAAGTCTGGCCAAATTGGGATTTGCGGATTCCGTTGAGCAAAAGGTTGGAGAAGATCCAAGTACTAGCTAGTCATGATTTTTTTCCAAACAACACGACATTATTATGTTATTCACGACATTAATTTGTCGCATATTTTGTTCAAATGGATTTTTATTTTGGTTTCAATTTTTGAATATTGGACTGATTTTTTTTGTGATTGGAGGTGTGTAGTGTTGTTTTATTAATTGCTTGTTTAGAAGTCATGCATTGTGGTGTGTTGATTTTTAACTGGGAATCTGGATGTGTGAGAATTGGGTTAATTTAAATTATTATTTTTGTATAATTATGTATTCCTCTCATAATTGGTGATTTGTTTCTTGAATTTGTTCGAAGTGTTTTGTCATGAAATTTTGTGATATATTGATTTCAAATTTGGAAAATGGAGAGGTATGGGAACTACTTGTTCATAAGTGTGTTCTTGAATGTTTGAGTTAAGCTTTAAGCATATTGAATGAGTTTTTAAGCATTGTATTGTTGAGTGTAAAGAAATTTATATCAAATTTATTTAAACCCAAAGTGTGTCAGTGAGATGAGAAGTAAATGTGTTGCTGGCAGTGTGACAATTTGTCTAGAATTTTTGGTTGATTGAAGATGTGAAATAGGTCATATGTGTTTGAGTTCATGGTTTACTCAATATGTGTTTAATCTGATTTCACTCAAGAATATGGTTTGTCTTTATTCAACCTTTTTAGTATTAAGACTAAATGGTACTCCCTCCGTCCTAAAATTAATTTCTCAGTTTGACTTTTGTAGTCAAACTTTTTAAACTTTGACCGTATATTACGGAAAAAATATATTGAATTTTTATATAAATTTTTTAGCAATAGATTCATTTTGAACCATAGTTTTGAAATATATAATTTTTATAAAATATATTTATATAAAAACTGAGATATTGATGGTCAAAGTGTCGCATTATGAACCGTGAAAAGTCAAATGGGAAGTTAATTTTAGGACGCAGGGAGTAATTGTTTTTATGTGATACAGTTCCATGTTATTCCATTAAGTTTAGTATAATAGAGGTTACTGGCAATGTTATAATTTGACAAGATTTATACATAAGGCTTGACACTCTCATATGGCTAATACTTATTCAACATGTATTGTGTTAAATGTACAAAAATTCGTATCATTTCAGATCTCATATGATTCTTACCAAAAAAAAATTACGCGCATTCAATAATCAAAAACACATTGTCTTAATTTTGAAAACTTGATTATAACACACTGTCATAGGACACATACACTAATTACCACAAAAAAAGTATTGCCATAACAATATATCAACATGTTGTAACCTGTGGTGATCTTAGTAGATGTTGATGTGAGTGAATAACCGTAGAGTTTGAGCAGCGTAGTTGCGTAAATAACGCAAGCGCTACATAATGGTAAGAGAATAATTCAACTCTTAAAACAAAGGAAGTGAGTGAAATTATTAAAAATATATAGGTGGAAATGTGGAATCCCTCCGGGCTGAAATTTCCATTGAAGTCAAAAAACTAAGGAAGTGTTATTTATGTAATATTAATGGTCTTAAAGTGATACGTAAGGGTGATTTCTTAAATGTGTAAGAAAGTCTAAATTTTAGATATCTACTCTAGAACCAAAAAAGAATAACTCTAAATTGTCAAACAATATAACTTGGTGTCTATAATTGATGGGGTTCATCCTTTTTTGAAATAATTACTACCTATGTCTCAATGTAATTGTTCAGTTTAAATTTTTCGAGTCAACTTAATAAACTTTGAACTTTAATTACTTTAAATTTATATTGCATATTACTACAATATGATAAAATTTTGAAAGTTCTCATCAAGATAAATCTAATAAAATCATTTTTATACTAATATACATCACAAAATTTGTTTAATTGAAATTCAAAGTTCATTCTGTTTGAATCGAATAAATTAAGCTGGACAAATACACTCTGACGAGGGAGTAATACTATGTAGAACTTAAAGGGCCGTGCTAGAATCACAAAAATGTTAAAAGGTGGTACTCATTTTGACAAATTTTCAATATTTTATACTTTTTTTATCCTAAAATGTTTTACACTTCCCACAAAATGAAGTAAATTTTCAAGTTGTTAATTCTTTTTATTTAAAGATTGGTATTGAAAATAAAAATATAACTTATATATTTAAAAATTACGTCATAAATTTTTACAAAATAAGAAATGATAAGAACATTTTATTTTATCATATATTCAATCAAAACGTGCAAATAATTAAAAGTTTGTGTGACTTTTGAATATAGAAGTGTAACTCTTTTTGGGATGAATGGAGTATACAATTCACTTTTTGTCAATCAAATACTCCATAGTAAATTAAAGAATATCAAGAAAAGATGGAATCAAGTGAAGTATGTAGTACTCCATTTTTTAAGTATAAAAAAATTATGTGAGAAAATCTACAATAAATTTATAAATTTTTAAGTGTAATATAGAAGTACTCATTAAAAAATGAAAAATTATTCGAAATAAGAGGTGTCAAAAATATTTAAACAATTTTCCCACGACTGCTAAAAAAACAAACGTTGCAAATAATTTGTGACGGATGGAGTATCTTCTAAATAATTTCCAAATATGCATTTTTAATTTTTAACATTTTTAAAAGTTTGCATATACTATATCCGTCTTAGAGTATTTGTTCATTTTGATTTTTTCAGTCAACTGTTTTAACCTTTGATCTATATTTACATAAAATATAAATTCTATATAGAGGAATTTACTTAAAAGCATTAAAACATAATGACTTTCCCGAAATAACATCACATGTGTTTTTCTTTCCAATGTAGCATTTTTAGTCATTATATATTAGTCATTATTCAAGCAAATATTCGCTATCACTGGACATTATGGATATTATTAAGTGTTATTTAGGGAATAAAACAATTTAAGTGCTATTTAGAGAAATGACTTAAGTTTTAGTGCTATTTAGTGCAAATATTTCTTATATATAACTAGGTAAAATAATATTTTGAAAACATTTTATGTAATAAATCTAATAAAACTATTTTTGTATCAATATCCAATATTATTTTTATTTAATTTCAAGTCATAGTAAACAAATAGAAATTTATGAAATTTATTTTGAGACAATAGAAATTTACAAATTCTTAAAACTGAGGGGGTATAAATAGGTAAAATAATATTTTGAAAATATTTTATATAATAAATCTAATAAAACTAATTTCGAGTCATAGTAAACGAATAGTAAAACTGAGGGGATATAAATCATAAAATTTATTTTGAGACAATAGAAATTTACAAATTCTTAAAAATTTTCCACTGAGATTTTTTCTCGAGAGAATTGTACATAGCACCACCTCCACCAATGGGTGGATCCCTTGCTTTAAATAGCAAGAAATCAAGATTCACACAAAGCACCACCCATTTAAATATCCTTACAAAAGCCCCCAAAACTCTAGCAAATAGCGATTCAACCCCCCACAAAAAGTGGAATAACAATAATGCGAAATTTGATTTTTTTTTCCTTTGCGGGCACACCGCACACATTCTAATCTTACAAAGTACGGACAACGTTTTCACTATTACTGAAAGAACCCCAACAACGACAAGATATTGCAGAACAGTCCCCGTAGAACCTCAGATTCACTTTCCGGCCCCTCTCCCAATCATTTCTTTGTACCTCAGGATAGAATCTAGCCTCTGCATCTTCAGCTGCTGCTTGAACCGGTTGATGAAGTCGTCGGCCCTCGCGTCCACCTCCAGATCCGCCGCCTTCCCTCTCTCCTTCACCGTCGCCGGCCGCCGGCGCTCCAGATTTCCGCCCCCCTCAAAAGGGTTGACTCGCGATTTCACGCTCGCCGACTTCTTCATCCTCTCCGGCGACTCCTCCTCTGCAGATGTCTTGACCTCCGGCTGACTCTGGCTTTCCGGCCGCCGGTTCAATCTGCTGTAGACTTCGTCCATGCTCTCCCGCTCCACCTCCTCCTCCTCCTCCTCTTGCTGGAATGTGTAGTGGGTAAGCGATTCTTCCTGGTGGTACTCCTGCCGGAAAATGTAGTGGGTCGCCGGAGATTCAAGAACCGGCGTTTCCTGATGGGTGTTGTGAAATTGGGAATCTTCGAAGGTTTGGGGGTGCGGGTGGGCGTCGGAATCCGGGGAGGATTTGAAGATTGAGGTCTCGTGGAATCTGAAACTGGAGAAATTGATGGATCTGAGGCGGTGGAGAACGGAGGGGGACTTGTCAAGATGGTGATGGGGTTCTTGATTCTTCTTTGGGTGCTTCTGTTTGTTGCAGGAGAGTGTGGAGGAGAGAGCAATGGTCCCAATCATGAGGTTGAGGAGGAGGAAGAGGACTGTGGGGGTGAACCAGCTGGCCATGGATGACCAGATGGAAGATGAGTTCATGTTCATGCTGGCTGCATTGGATTCCTCAAGCATTTTTGGAAGAAGAAGAAGAAGAAGAAAAAGAGAGAGCTGTGTGTGTGTGAGTGAGAGAGAAAGAGGATGGAGATGATGATGATGAAGAGGAAAGGTTTGGAGTGTTTTTGAAGGATTATTTGATGAGGGAAAAATGATGGTGCTTTGGTGGAGATATATGGGGCATTGGTTGTTGGGAGTTGGGGGCTTTGGTGATTGTTGGCCTCTTTTATTTGTGCACGAGGCTAAATTTAAGGACAATGCTAACGTACCATCACATGGGTGTACTTATATTTCGCACAGACAAACACAGACGATAATTGTCTGTGCGACACAGACAATTATCGTTTGTGTTTGTCTGTGCGAAGCATAGGTGCACCCATGGTAACACCCATATGGTGGCACTCTAGCATTTCCCTAAATTTAATTAGGACAAGGTTTCCATGACATTACCGACATTGGCCGGCAATGTCATGGGATGACTTGGAGGCGCTCCGGTCTCCTATTAGTAAAATTGACGATTCCTATTTTTCTAATCCCTAGGTAAACTCCACACCCTGCCTCGACCGGGATACACCCCACAACCAAGGTCAAAATCAATTTGTGGGGCGCAATTGAAGAGGATGATGTGTGTTCCAGTCGGAGCAGGGTGGGGCCATTTACCTGTGGATTAGGGGGGTGGGAACCTTGGTGATTTAATTATATAGTATTAAAACATAGATAATCTTTCAATGTAGTATCATACTCTCTGTCTCAAAATGTTTTTCCCACTTTCATTTTTAATTTGCCTATTTCGAAATATTTTTCTCATTTCTTTTTTAGTATACTTTGTATAGATAAACCTTAACAATACTCTTCGATTTTATCATTAATCTACATGTTATTGTTTTTTAATAAGAAAAAGTGGTTTAAAAGTTTATAGTATGAGTATTTTTGGAGATTTGGCATTTTTTACTATTCATTAATAAACGTGTCAAATCAACACGAGAAGAATATTCCTGGACGGAGGGGTATGTTTTGAGTTTCCAATGTAGTACTACTGTTTAATGGCCACTGGATATTCTTCGAGTAAATGTTCACCGCCACCGGACATTGTTTAAAATAAATGTCCACCTCCACTGGACATTGTTCTCGCCCGCAACTGGACATTTTTTAAGTACTATTTAAATCATAAAAAAATTTTAGATACTATATTGTGAAAAGATATACTCCCTACATCCCATTTTTTATTACAAATTAAGAATTACGAGGTAAAATCTTATAACTTTTAAAATCATTTTATTTACATCTTGGTATATAAATAAAAAAATAAAAGTTACATATTAAAAAACTACGTCAAAAATTCTTCAAAACAAGAGGTGATAAGAGTATTTTATTTTTATTTTATGAACTAATCAATGAAAACATACAAATAAACAAAAGTTATCGAGAAGAAAGAGAAAAATATAATTGTAATCAAAATTGAGACGAAGGGGGTATATTTAAGTACTACTCCCTCTGTCTGAAAATGTTCTTCCCATTTGATTTTTTTGGTTAAAATTTGTAAACTTTGACTCCAATATATGAAAAAAATGCATTGTATTATAATATAACTTTAATATTACTATATTCCTATTAAAATGTAGTTTTCAAATATCATTTTTTATAAAATATATCTATGTATAGATCGATAAAAATATTACTGCGGTAGTATGCAAATGTAATATTAGAAATTGTGAAAAGTCAAATGGAAAGAATATTTGTGGACGGAAAGAGTATTAACTACTCTCTCTGTTCTGAAAAAGAGCTTCTGTTTTGACCAAATGTAAAAATAAGGAAGTGTTAAATTATAGTGGACTTTCAATTTTACCCTCGAAGTGATGGATAGATTATTAAAGAAAAAGTATGATGTGATAGATATGGTGTGAAAAAGTAAGGGTAAAAGTGGTTTTTTAATAAAAATGGAAGTATTTTGTTGGAAGTGGAAAAAATAAAAGAGGAAGTGTTTTTGAGAACGGAAGGATTACTAAATACAAATTTCACATGTATAAATGAGGTGTCCCCCTATCGTTCTTTATTTTACTTTTGTGAGAAAAGAGTTGTTTTTTAAAGATTTTTTTAAAAAAATCTCAACTTTACAGATTTTTCAAAAATAATATCATCGTATTTTTCATTGTGGTGCACAATAATTTTAACTTTATTGAAATTTGCCAGCTTCGAGTCACTGTTAGTTAAACTGCTAGTTTTGATAATAGTAAAAAAAACAGAAAAAAGCTATTGGGTTGCCTGACATATCTATGAATAAGGAAGTTGATTACCTTTTTTATTGAATAAATAATTCCTCAATAACAAGTTGATAATAGAAGAAGGAATAAGGAAATAGCCATTGAAAAGGAGGTTTAAAGTGAGGACAAAAGGGCTTTAATTTGCAGCATGATAAAGACGAACACAGAAAATGAACCTCAAATTTATGTCAATTTACATAATTACTTCGTCCATTTCTTTCACATGCAGTTTGAATTTTTTTTTTTTTTAAAAAATATGCCACTTATTCAATTCATACTCGCAATGAAACGAAAAAAAAAACATACAAATTACGAAATCGATCTCGAAATTTTATATATATATATAAATTCTTGAAAGATATCTTGAGAAATTAAAGGAATATCCGGTTCAATTATAAATAAATGTTAATTATTATAATTACTAGAACGACAATTTTGGAGCAGAGAAAGTATTATAAATAAATGAATATATATATATTAATGTTTTCATATTTTTTTCATCAAGTAGTGCGAAGTAGTAATACAGAGTATAAGCTTATTACGAAAACTCACTTTAAGTTTATTATGTGCAAATTGTTTTGTTTGAATTTTAATTTTATATAGATAAATTTAAAAGTATTAAGAAGCATTTTGAATGCTATTTTATTACTATTCGTTTTGTTTAGTTTGTGAATTACTCCGTATAAAGTATGAATTATAAATTCCTTTTTGAATTATATTAAGCATTTTTTGCTCTTTGTTGATTCATGTTTTTAGTGTTTTATGTTTTACACTTTTGATTGTATTCTTCTGTATATATTCATTCTTCTGTACACTTTTGATTGTATTTATTACATTGGGAAATAAAAACATATGGTTCTATATTGGAAAAATCATTATGTTTTAGTTCTATTTAGGTAAATTTCTCTTATTTTATTTTTTGATACATGTTCGGGATGCATCATTTGTTTTGTAACCACACATTTATATTCATTTCTTTCTCTTTTTTTACACTAAAAAGTGTGTGGTATCGGAACACTTGGTGTAAACCAAAGTGTATCCAAAATATTTTTCATAGTTTTTAGTTTTTACCTCGTACTCCGTAATAAAGGTAAAAAATAAAGTAATGTTAAGTGTACACAAAAAGCGTATCCCATTTGTACACCATTAATCTCTTCACCACACATTTCTTATCTACTTTATAGTTTTCTTATTCACATAAAAAATTAAATCGTGGAAAAATTGATAGTGTACAAATGGGGTACACCATACCCCTAGTATTTTTGTACTACTTCCTTCTCTGAGTATTTGTCCAGTTTTGACTTTTTTTGATCAACTGTTTTCAACCTTTGACTTATAATTAAATAAAATATATATTATATTTTAATTAAATAAACTAATATTTTGAAAATATTTGATATAATAAACATAAGAAAACTCTTTTTGTATCAATATCTAATATCATTTTTATTTAATTTGAGGTCAAAATTTACTAATTTTGATTAAAAAAAAGTTAAAAATGGACAAATATTCAGGGACTTGGATGAAATAATAAATATGTTTCACACACATCCATAATAAACGACTTCAAGCCCCAACATAAAAAAATTATTGATTCTCTATATAGTATTCCCTCTAGCCAATACTCCTTCCGTCCTATAATGATCTTCCCGGTTCGCAAAACGAAGAAAAATCCCAAGTTTTTTCAATCTATCTTATTTAAATATTGGTATAGAAATAAAAAATAAAACATACATATTTAAAAACTACACCAAAAGTTCAACAAAACAAGTAGTGACAAGAATATTTTATTTTATCATATAGGCCATGAAAAAACACAAATAAATATAAATTCCGTGAAGTTAGAATAGTGCTCTGGGAAGATCATTATAGGACGGAGGGAGTAATAAATACTCCATTTGAAAAGATCACATCTTTTTAAAAGTCACTTTATTGAGAAATTGATAGTGGAGTATATCATTAAAAAGTACAAATTATATTATTCAAAAGTATATCAAAAGTTCTACAAAGCAAAACGTGACAAAAATATTTTATCTTATCAAATGATTGATGAAATTATACAAACAAACGTAAGTTATCGAGAGTCTATAATAGTAACTGAGAAATTTGTTGTTAGACGAAAAAAATAATTAAAATGTGTTTCTTTAACAGAAACACATTATTTGTACAAAAAAATCAACTCCTAAAACGAAAAAAAATACTCCGTACAAATTTTAACGACATACAGCGGAGTACATTTAAGTTTTTAACCATACAAAAATGACGCATGCGATGCGAGACACTATAAGAATGGTTTGTCAAAGTAATGACTTTGTTTTGATGGAGGGAGTAATTTGTTGGGACATAATCAACAACTAATCAATGTTTAAATTATTGAAATTATTATTCTCAAGTTCATTTTAAAAAAGCATTTATAGTACTAGTAGCATTTTCATTCAATTAATTCGTGTTCTATAAAGAACACAATTTAGGATATGGGCTCGATAAAAAATAATTAGATATATAAAAATGTTGAGTTGGATAAAAATGATTTAAGTCGCGTGTAGACCTCGAAAGATAGGACCAGAATCGTCTACTCGAACCAAAATATTTGTAACAGAAATGGTTTGAAAAGTGAAGATCCGATATATAAATGAAAAAATCCAAAATAATTCGAATAGAACAGAAACAGAATATCCATAACTGGTTTAGATCTGATCTTGAAATCAATCAGATTCGAAACCAATTAGATTTGAATCGATTAGATATAAAACCGATTATATTCGAAAAAGAACATATACCCAACATACGGACTATTATAATTATGTTCACAAGTGAATAACTACATCTATGTAACTTTAAATTCATTTATTATATTTTACGACTTGAGCAAGGTGCCAAGGTTGTTATATACTCCCTCCGTCCCACAAAACATAACCTATTTTGAATAGTATTTGGTTAAAATATTACATAATTTGACTATAAATTATGAGAAAAGTATATTGAATTATAAATTTAATATAATTGTGTTCATCTTAGTATCTAGTTTTAATATATCAAATTTTTATAACATTTTTTATTTAGATCATATTTAATTTATAGTCAAAGCGTGTAACTGTTAGATTAAAAATACATCAAAATGGGTAATATTTTGTGGGATGAAGGGAGTATATGGTTACTCTCTGTCCTAATATTTTTAACAATTAAACTTTTTTTTATGAAATTCCTACCCTTTTTGACAGATTGAGGGGAAGGGAAAATTGGGAAAGAAAATAAGGAGTAAAATGTTAAAAAAAGATTGGGCAACAACACTAAAAAGGAAACACAAAATTTTAAATTTTAATGTACGGAGTAAAAATAATACATATCTGAAGTCAAAATATATTCAGACTAAAACGTATCTGAAGCCGAAATATATCAAAACTAAAAGATATCTGAAAGTAAGACGTATCTGAAGCCGAAATATATCAAAACTAAAAGATATCTGAAAGTGAGACATATCCAAACTGATTTATATCTGAATCGAAGATGAATTGGTCCCCTCATCCATCCTAAAAACGTACTCCCTTCATCCCGGAAAACTTTTCTGTTTTGGAATTTTGTGAAGAGAATATATAGAAGTTTTGTCAAGGCGAAACGACGACAATTGAAACAAATTGGGTTCAAGAAATATCAAAACGGGTAGAGCGTATAAGGTAGTTGAGGTACATTCGATATGATTTACGAAAAGTAAGTACAATTATGTCCATTTAAATGAAATTGAAATATTTTATGAGATGAATTAAAATCAAATTAAATCTGAATTAAAATGAAACCAAACCCATTGTAATAGATTTTTAATGGACATCCAAACCGAATAAATCCAAACCCGAACTCATTGATGGATTCCATTGCGAGGCCGCTCGCGTGGGAAACGTTCCTCACCGCAGCATTGACCTCATTCCCACGTGACAGCCCTTCGCCACGCTGGCAGTCCCATATAATTCTGCTACCACGTACCGCCGTTTCAATTTAGACTCCACGAGCCCGTCTCCTCACCGTCAAAGGCAAAAAATGGCCGGGAACTCGCCGGAACCCGGTATTGTGCCCGAGTTTGCCGGCGATCTGAAAGAGCTTTACGCTATATGCGACGCCGAAGACGAGATTTCTCCGGAGATAGCCGAGGAGATGGTAGAGAGGGTGATGCACGAGCTCCTGAAAGAGATCACCGGCGCCGGAAGTCTACCGCCGTCGCCGTCGGGGGGATTCATGGTCAGCGAGAGCTGCGGGCCGGCGGCGCTTTCTGGGTCGGGCTCGACCGTCATGGCCGGCATTGAGTTGAGCTTCTGCAGCGGCGCGCGGGCTCTCTCTGGTTTCCCGGCGGGTCAATGCGGCGGGAACGGGTCTGGCGTGGAAGAGAGAGCGGCAGGAGAAATGCAGTACACAAGGGCGCGCGGCGGTGGTGAAGGCTGTGACGGGTTAGTTTGCGACGACGATGAGTGGCTCGCCGTGTTTCTTAGCTATTCCCCGCCGGAGCTTGATGTATGGTTTTGAACCCTTCCCGGCGGTTGCCGGTACGGGTGTTTGTTTTTACTGGCCTTATTATTGCCGTCATAATCTCGTGAAAAATGTGAGGTGATTGACTATGTTTCAAGAATACTCCCTCCCCTCCATCCCAAAATAAAAATCTTGTTCGAATAGTCATTATAATTTGAAATTTTTACACTAAATATCACTAAAACTTTAAGTCATTTCGCTAAATAGCACCTAAACTGTTTTATTCCCTAAATAACACTTAATAATGTCCATACTGTCCAGTGATGGCGAATATTTGCTTGAATAATGACTAATGCATAATGACTAAAAGTGCTACATTAGGAAGAAAAACATGTGTGATGCTATTTAGGAAAGTCATTATGTTTTAGTGCTATTTAAATAAAATTCTCATTATATTTAATAGTAAATTCCAAAATAGTCTATTTTCCAAATTCAGTATTTAATAAGTTTTAATTATCTATGTGATGTTCTATAATTAAGATTTATTTTTTAGATAGTTTTTTTATAAATAATGTTACTCAAATAATGATTCATTGAAGTTAAATTCAGTCACGTATTCAGGTTTTGAGAAGTTAAATTCAGTTATATCGATAATTTAGTAGGAAGCAGGGAAAGATTTGATTCTACTACATGTAAAAATTTCATGTTATGTGCATAGTTGTCGTCGGAGTCGAACTCAGAAATCATCGATTTTGAACTCCTTTGTTTGACTATAAGTTATGCCCTAACAAAAAAATATTTCATTAAATAAGATGAATTACATCTAAAAATCTCTGAGACTCCACTCATACAGTTACCTAAGAAGATGTAAGGAAATTTGAATCTTAGGTTAGGTATCATTATAACAACATACATGGAGCGTGATATGTCATGCAATAAAACGATGAGCCTCATTTCCGAGGGCCCCTAGTATCTAGTGAAACCTATGTCCGGTACTTGCAGAGACCATATGCTTTCGCACAGTCGCCACGAATCAAACTCGAATCTTACGCATTTGATACAATTTACCTTTGCCAACTGTGCAACGTCCATCAACAACAAGAACCTATGCAAAGTGCAAAGTATAATAAGATGACATTCAGCACATGTTCATAAAATGTTCATTGAGGGGGTTGTAATTATGACACATAGTACATATTCTGGTAAATATGACTGTACTTTTGTTGTTTTTTTGTTAGTAAAAAGCTTTGATGGTAATGTTTCACGAAAATGAACACCAAAAAACATTAGAAATTATATACTCATACCACAATTCTATACGTCTCTTTTTTTTCTTTCATTAATATTGTATGATCTAAAATCTAAATATTTCAATATGGGACCATTATATTATTACATGTTGGACGTACATATAAGTACAGATGTATAGATTGCTTTGTTTTTTTGTGTGTAAAACAGTAGTATGGGTCATTTATATATTTGTAAGTAATTAAATGGACCGCACTCTAAATTTAATTAAGTGATGGCTACATACGTTACTATACAATACCATACTATTACTATGTAGAGTTGACTGTTTGTCATAATTGGTTGATAAGATATATCAAAATGTATAAATGTGATCGATGAGTTCAATTTTTGAAAGCTACAATGAGAGACAGACTTATTTAACATGCGATCTCTATAAATAGCTAGCATAACTCGCCATTTATGACGAGGAACTCATCATGTTTAGCATATGGTCTCTATCAAAATCTCAATACATATTATAAGGACCTCACGTTAACCTGGTTGTCTTTCATCGACGAGTCGAACCAGGGCAATTTCTCTCTTTTATCCTCAATTGATCGACTAAGCTACGACACCCTGGAGTATAGCAATGGTTGAGTCAAACTAAGAAGAATCATGCTATCCAATATCACAAACATTTAACCGAGTTTTACAAATATGTGAAACAAGTTCCCAAAAAAACTATACCATAATGGCTTAAAAGGTGTTTGTGAGTGCGTTGAGTTCTTGAATAAGTAGAAGTATTAAATCACAAGCAAAATATAGTTAATTACTCCTAGCTTTGGTGAAAGACACTTCTAGAGCACATTTTACATTTCTTAAGTCACAATCAATCTAAAGCTAATTTGCAAACACATAGAATTGTGTTTGACAAGCTAAGCTACGACACCCGAGAGTATAGCAATGGTTGTGTCAAATTAAGAAGAATCATGCTATCCAATATCATAAACGTTTAATCGAGTTCTACAAATAAGTGAAACAAGTGCCCTGAAAACAACTATACCATAATGGCTTAGAGTGTGTTTGTGCGTGTGTTGAGTTTTTTGAATAAGAAAAAGTACTAAATCAGATGTAGAAAATAGTTACTCCAAGCTTTGGTAATATGAAAAGCATTCTCGAGCATATTTTACACTTCTTCAGTCACCCTGGATAGAGACTAATTCATCAGCCAATAGAAAGCCCAGCAAACAGTGATTCCAACTCCTCATCTTGTGTTTTGGTTCGCTGCAATACAAATAGGTTAGAAAAAAAGATGTTTCAATGAATTTCAAGAGGGACATGAGCATACTCCAGACAACCAAAAAGATGTTCCAAACATCTTACCTCCTGATTGTTTACCCCTGTTGCCAGTCACCTCTCGCATGTCACTAACAACTATCATTTCAGATCTCCTCAAACACATTTCAAATTTCAAAACACGTACTTTTTTTAGATTTCAAGACTCATATTATATCAACTCTCCATAACTCACCAAACGAGCGCTTAGTAAGTTGTATTTTCCCGTTGTAATAGCTCAATGAATTGAAAATTGTGATCTAGGGGTCCCAACAATAGTGGTGGCATATCCAAGGGAACAAGTGAGAATGTACTCGGGGCTCGTTTCTTGAGTTTTCGGTGAAGCTTAAATATGGTTCAAATTTAATATCTTCAGGTAACACAATCCTCCCAAGTTAGGTGTTTAAATATCTCTATCAACCACCTTGCATGTCAATACCAATCATCATTTCAACTCTCTCTAAACACTTCCACTTCTTCTATATTCCAAAACTTAGGACCCGATTGGTGAGCGCACGCGATATGGGTTCTAATATCTCTCGATATCAGAACTCTTTTTTGGCAATGGATGAATCATAATTCGGGAGACATCAATCTGGTGGTTGATATCTCCCCCAACCGCCGATTATCCCATTGCCAGCCACCCCCGCCTATCACTTCAAATCCTTCAGATCTCTCAAAACAACTCCATTTTAGATTTCAGAATAGGTATCATTTTTTTCTCAAATTGCAGAAGTCATATCATATGAACACTCCAAAACTCAACAAAGGTGGTGCCCTAATAGCCAGATCCCTTAACAGAGATCAAGATCAAGCATCATACCTGAATGGACAAAAGCTGCAGGATTTTGTTCAAAACCCGTAATCGATGAATCACATAAGAGCTGTACTGGGGAAGTCCCCTCAATTTGAAGAGTTCTTCCATGATTGCAGCTTCCATCTTCTCCGCACCCGATTTCCCACTGGAAACGCCATCTCTGGGCGGATTAACACCATCCGCGCCTTCAAATTTCTCGAAATCTTCCATTTTAACTCTACAATCAAATGACGCAGCAGATTATCAGACCGGAAGAGATGAAATCATGCTCCCACTGGAAGTACTTTACGGGGAAACGTGAAGAAAGACACATAAACTCAACAGATCGGAAAGCAATTTGGGGGGGAAATTCGGGTCAGCTGAAACCGGTGGAGATCTTCCCGAAATTTGACCCACGGTTCCTAGTTTTGTTTGGAAAGATGTTTTTTTCCTTTGGAAAAATAAATGGTATTCATATTAATTCAAGAGGGACATGACATGATTCATCGATCTCCTAAAATAGACAATTAAGAGAAGTAAATATTTATATAATCATTTTACGATCCGAAATAACATTCATAAAATGAAAATGATTCTTTGTATCCTCATGAATTGCCTTGAAAACTATCTAACTATCCATCTCAATAATCTCGTGTTGTCCAAGTGATGTCTTCAACCTTTTGAGCGCCTCTGCCATCTGTGCATTCTTAGATCGCCCTAGCCCAAAATATGTCGCACGTATAAAATTTCTCCGATCATTCTGAACCACCATTACTACCCTCATAAGTTTTGTTTGTGGATTGAAAGACATCTATGTTGCACTTTAAGGTATACCCCCTGGAGCTTTTCATGTAGTCATCTGTTGTCCCGATCCAGCTTCGTTCCTTTGTATTATTTTACCTTGTACAGTCTGCCATTCTTGTAATTCCCAAACTGTTTTAGTTACCACCATCGTTGAAGCCATACACTTATTTTTCCACATGAGTTGGTTGCGTTGTTTTTAAGTCTTCCAAAGAATCTTCTCCACAACACCTTGGGCACATAGTTAATATCTCCACTTCTTTCTTATATAAGCTAGCTCTAACCACTAGAACGTCATTGATGGCTCTCCAATTTCAGACATTCGGCAGAACTTGCATTTTCTACACAAAAGACCACATATTACTTTTAGAAGCCTTCCCTAGTCATTGTTCTTCATAAAGGAGGAGATTGTCTCTCTATATCCAATTATCCTCTTGTTCATGAGTAGTCAATGGAATACGTAAGATTTCCTGAATTCGTCTGTGCAAACGATTGTTTGGAGAAGGTCAACATCCCACCTCCGAGTTATATGATCAAGGAGGGCCGACACCGGTACTTTGTTCCCCTCCTCCATAAGACTTGACCGGACATACAGGTCTTCTCTCCTCAATAGCCATGGTGCATTCAGCGCCTTCGTCGTCTTGCCATTTTCGATTCACTATATACAACTTTTTTTTCAAAATCCCCCTCATTTTATGAGAGACCACCAAGCAAAAGTCGAGTTGCTTCCACATCATACCTGCATAAAAAGAATCACTGCTAGAGAAATACCGGACCTTATAAACCTGGTGAACAAGTGAGTTGGGCCTCTTTAGAAGGTTCTAACCCATCTTAGCCAACAAGGCCATGTATCAAACCAGTGCATCTGTCAAACACCCAACCCTCCATCCATTTTTATTAAACTCAATTGTTTCCAAGACATTCAGCTCATCCCCCAACCTTCTCCATTTCTTGACTTCCACCAATATTGGTTACTTATCGTTTCAATGTTATCACAAAGGGTCACCAGAAGTTTGAATATCGCCATAACATATGTCGAGATTGCCTGAATAATTGTCTTGATAAGCACCTCCTTTTCTGCCATGCACAACAAGACTTTATTCTTTCAATTTTCAATCTTACTCCACACCCATTTTTCTTTTTCTTTTTTTTTTGGGTGGGGGGGATAAACTTCTCCGCTTAGCTAAATCATACTACTAAAAATATTTTCTCTAGGAACTTGAGTTCCCTTAATTAAATTTAATTTATTGAGCAAAAAATTAATTTTATAACTTCGATAATATTATTTCAATTGAAAAACTTCATTTTTATTTTCTGAAAATATACTTAAAAAAACTTTAAGTCTCGGAATTTTTTTTTTTTTTCAAAAGAAATTTTAATTCTTTGATGATATAGTTTGTCTTCAAAACTCAAAGTGAATAATGGCGAACCTAATAGGAAAATACTTAACATTTTTATGTACGAATGCAATTCATGAAAAATAATCTCAATTTTCAATCTTAGTCCACACCCATTTTTCTTTGGGGGGGAGGGATAAACTTCTCCGCTTAGCTAAATCATACTAAAAACATTTTATCTGGGAACTTGAGTTCCCTTAATTAAATTTAATTTATTGAGCAAAAAATTATTTTTATAACTTCAATAGTATTATTTCAATTGGAAAACTCCATTTTTATTTTCTGAAAATATACTTTAAAAAATGTTAAGTCTCAGAAATGTTATTTTTTTTCAAAAGAAATTTTAATTCTTTGATGACATAGTTTGTCTTCAGAGCTCAGAGTGAATAATGGCGAACCTAATAGGAAAATACTTAACATTTTTATGTACGAATGCAATCCATAAAAAATTACATGGTTGGGAAATTAGTTAGGGGTGTTCAATCGGATCGATCCGATCCGAAAATTTGGATATCCGAAAATTTTGGATCATGCAAAACTCATTTCATATACGATCCAAAAATATTCGGATATCTAAAATTCGGATATCCGATTTTTCAGATCGGATCACTGGATTATCCGAAAAGTTGAGTTTTTAGCCAAAATTTACAAAAAAAAAGGTAAAATAGCAAAATCAACCCAAAATATCAAATTCAATATAAATTTACTAAAAGAAAAATTCCACCACTTGGTAATGGTCTAATAAAAAATGATACCAAATTTAATTTGGGAGCAACTTTGGTAATTTTGCCTAAACAAGCAAAAAAAACACTATTAAAACAAAAAATTCTAAAATGCTAATGCAAAAAGTCCAAAATGGGTGATTTCCAAAATAAACATAAAATTACATTTAAACATATAGTCATAATATATATCCATAAAATTCCAAAACCATATAGCAAAAAAATTCAGATATCCGATTATCCGAAAAATCCAAAAATTGAATCCATATCCGATCCAATTTTTTTCGGATATCTGACCAATCTCGATTTTCAATTTTTTTAAAAAACCAATTTCATATGTATTCATGGTTTGAAAAACTATAGACCACATCAAACCATTATGAATGCCAACAAACAATTTTCCAAGATTGGAACAAGAATTTTCATGATATAATCCAAAAGTCTAATCACATCCAAAAACAATTTCACTATATAGCCCATCAAAGTTCACACAACAATACATTACAGTACATAATAAGACTCAAATAACACATGAATATAGGGTTTATCAACTTTGAATATGCAATTTCAAGCATCCAACCTCTAATCATTCCTTGAACTTTGCACCTCTTGTATATCTAAAGATAAATCAAAGACACCAAACCAATATAAATGTCAACAAACAAGTATCCAATGCTACAGTTTTATTGCATGATACAACATGCGGCGGGCTCAATTAGCATGGGTTTTTTTTGCCTGAGCAACGGCCCAAATACTCGGGGGAGGGGAGGGGGGGTGTACAACCCGACCATTCGGACTCGATTTTACCTTGGGAAAGAGTTTTTGGGTTGGTTTTGGGGCGGTCTCCTGCGGTTTCCCTTTTTTGTGCTCACTCCTACATCAAAAGTGTCATCTGTTCCTCCACCTTCCTGCAACAATTCTTCGTATTACATAAACATTAAAGACTATTCAGGTAGACCAAGAAACATTTATTTAGGAAGAAAGAAACACAAAATTTACATATTTTTAAGGGGCGCCTTTTTTCAAACAAGAAAGGCTTTTGGGGCAGAGGGAGTATTTTAGTGTTTTCTATCCGAACAAATATGTGATGTTCAGGATGTCAGCATAAGTGATCTTATAAAGGAATATGAAAAAAAAAATATCAATTCTCAATATGATTAACAGTTTAGCTTGTGTTAAGAGATTCTCTTAGACTTGAAAAGAAATCAATGGTAGAATGATGGAATAACATGTTGAGATAACCTAAGAGTTTCCAAACACTCAAGTATGTGCTTAACACCAAACCGTTTTTAAATTTAATTCCTTGATAAGAGTGTATATTGGCATGTTTGATGACAGATTTTGTCAAACTCATTTTAAAAATTTAAATATTCATTTCAAAATCTACTCGGATTAGCTTTCCGTATTACGTAGTATTTGTCTAACAAATCAGGTTATGTTTTAGAGTTTAAAATCAGGTTTACATTTAGAGTTGTAGGCAGTCTTTCATTTCCATTGCAAGACGCCGAAAACAATGCTTTCATTTTGATTGCAAGATACCCAAAACTTTTTATTTGAGTATCAAAACTTTATCCCAAAATTTCCAACTTGTAATTATTTTACTGTTAAACTTTATCTCAAGATTTCCAACTTTATCCAACCTTTTTTTAGTAACATCCCATATCATTATTTCATGTTTATAAAAAAAAACAATTAAGATAAGTGCCACTCAAATAAGTTGTAATAAGTCATTATATTTATATGCTTTCTACAGTGGTAGAATGAAATATAATATCACTTCAATAATACTGCCAAATTAATGAGAAAGAACAAACCTTTAACCGCAGAGTACAAAAATTCTAGAAGTTCAACCTCTGAACCTATAATTGAAAGAATGGAAAAAGATCATCATTGTATTGATGTCTAAAAAATATAATATCTCAATTCATAGTAAACATAGAGTAATTTAAATTGGCCAATCACTGTATTACTGCATTTAAAGTAACTTCATTCTTCAAACAATAATCTTGTTTCACTAATTATAAAACACTCCTAAAAAGGGCCTAAAAGATTCCTACTTACCAACTTTGCTATTGATTTACACTTCAGTAGTCTTGTGGAGTTGTGGTTGACAGTTTGGGTTGCATTTTGAACATCAGGAAGTCCAAAGTGGCAGGTCTTTTTTCCTACATTGGCAAATAGTTTTTTTAGGAACCATGACACTATGGAAATTATGGTGGGTTTCTACAACAAATAAAGTGGTCAAGTAACCCACCATTAATTAAAGAAATTAAACAAGATCAGATGGCACAATAATCATCTGCTGAATTTTTTTTTATAAAACAAATATGTGATGTTCTGGAGTTCAGCACAGCTGATCTCATAAAGGAAAAACTTGATAAAAAAACATCAACTCTCAATATGGTAAACGGTTTTGGTTGCTTGAACCTGGTTTAAGACACAGGAAAGAGATTCTCCTAGACTTGAAAAGAAATCAACAGTACAATCAAGGAATAACATGTTGAGATAACCTAACAGCTTCCAAACCATCAAGTGTGTGCCGAAGACCAAACCATTTTTATATTTAATTCCTCTAATTATCCCTTCACCTCCTACCCAATTTTCCTTAAATCGTGTGGTGAGCAAATAATTATGGAGTGCAAACATTATCTAAAATTGCTAGAAGATGAAGAACTATATGGTGTGCCCATTCTAAATAGATGGTATAAACAGACTATGCTCACTTTGGAAATTAGGATAAAGCATAAAGTAACATTGAACAAACACTGATATAATTGAACAAACACCCTTACATTGTCTTCACCTGACAAAGCACTTGTATCTATAATCCAAATGAACATATGAACAAACACATAGAGCACCAACAATCATCAAACCTCTCTCATACAGTGGACGTCTTCAACATACAACTATCTTTCAATTTTGACGCAATGCTAATTATTGTCCAAATTTAAGTCGTACATTAAATTAAGGGTGTTGCTAAATACACCCCAATTTTGGCTAAATCCACACCGTTTGCATCGAAAAATAAGACTACTAAATGAGCATAATTAATATTTTTATATATATACTTTTAAGGACTACTAAATCAGCATAATTGAAAAATAGGACTACTAAATCACCATAATTGATATGTAAAAATGGCGGGCTCAATTAACACGGTTTTTTCAGTCTAAAGCCTGACCTTTCAGACTCGGTATTACCTCGGAACGGATTTTTCAGGGTTTTTTCAGTCTAAAGCCTGACCATTCAGACTCGGTTTTACCTCGGAACGGATTTTTCAGGTTGGTTTTGGTACAGTCTCCTTCTGTTTCCCTTTTTGTGCCACCCCTACATCAAAGTGTCATCCATTGCTCCACCTTCCTGCAAAAATTCTTTGTATTAAACAAACATAACTATTCTGAATAAACATTAAAGAATGTTTAGGTAGATCAAGAAACATATATTTAGAAAGCAAAAAATAGAATGGACGTCTTACGTAGTTATATAAACATGATTATGGGAGTGGGATTTCCAGGAGAAGGAGGATTTATATTTGCAAGGTCACCGGCTCTGTCAATTAGATCATTTAGGTCATTTACAGAACAGAGCTGCACATTTTTAACCCCAACTTGTGTCTTGATTAGCTCTAAATTTTCTTCAAGCAACTTCATCTCTTCAAAGGGAAGTTTCAAATCCAAAGCACGAACGCCAAATTCAGAAGTTTCATCTTGCTTGAATCTTATAAAAGGCATGCAAGGCTCCAGCGGCTGAGATAGGGAGCTCTTTTCCAAGGCATCAAGTATTTCTCTATTGGGTGCAAAACAACATTCCTCCTTATCATACTTGCCCCGCAAGATTCTCAAGCACTCTGCATTCCATCCATCAAATTCCTCTTTGACAACCACTACAACTGAAACCCCCAACTTCTTCTCATTACTTCCTTTCTTTGACATTTTTTTACGAAGCAATTTTCTCATCCGAGATATCAAGTCCTGCATATACTTATTCGCCCACTTAAGATTTAAATCTGGCTCATCAGCTTTAGGCCAACCTGATGCTTTAACTACAAACCCTTCTTTCTCTAACAGTACCCTCCAGACATACTCAGCAAAATGAGGACATATAGGTGTGATAAGACGGATTTGGACATCCACGAATCGCCACAAGAGATCACGGTTCATCCCGGTCGGACCACACATCAATCTGTATTCATCTCGCGAAGCTTGAAGATTATAAAACCCCGTCTTCAGAGCCTCACGGAACATGTAATGCTCATAGTTGAATTTTGTATTTTTTACTGCAATATTCATCTCATTATTAAAAACCCGGTCTGCAAAGGTATATTTACCTCCTACTCTTAAAGATGACTCCGTGGTATCCATGACCTCTTTCATTCATGAGAGTTCTTTAGTAAGCCGCAAAACAGCAGCATTGGCAACACCTGACGAAAAATTTGCATCATCAAGACCATCACCAGCATCAGCTAGAGCGAATCTGATGGCATCAGCACCATACTCTCTAAGACTGCTGCACAGAGTCATGAAGTTCCCAGTACCCTTGGCCATTTTCTTAGCATTCAACATGAGGTGACCATTGCACCTGAAGCCACGAGGCCAGTGGTGCTTGGGCAAGATTGCTGTGTGATTGTATATGCAGAACATTAAATGATTTTGAATCAGATCCTTGCCTGAAACCCTGAGATCAAAAGGATACCAGTATTCAAACTCTTGTTTCATCAAATTGAGAATTGAACAAGGAATGTCAGAGGATGTAGGGTATGGACCACCACAGAAAATAAAGTCCCAAACATCACCTGTCATTTGTTCGGGTCTTATGGATGAGTTTGATCGTGCACCATAAATGTCACCACCATGCAGAAGATGAGAAACAGTGTAATAAGCCATATATAGAGACGAGTCAGAAAGTGACTCCACAAGAAACTGCTCATCCCATGGGATCCGAGTTCCAAGCCCAAACGACCGTGAGCATGCCCATTTGTTAAGCCAACTTAGTGAATGCTCAAACCAGTGTCTTGCTTCGTCAGAGTATAGTGTCATGCTCGACAAGCATTCCTCAGCCATTTTCTTCCACTCAACTTCACCATATGTGATAAACCATTGTTCTGTCAAAGCCACAATGCATTCATCACCAGATCTTGATATGACTTGACTTGCCGGTTCGTAATATAGAATTGCTCTGTGTGTTTCAATCAGTGATTTATTGATCAGTGGCTTTACTATGTTGATTCCCTTTCCGGCATGTTCCCCAACAAGCAGCTTTCCCTCAAGTGAATCTATCAATTTTGTTGCTTCTTCAAGCTTCACCTTTTCATTCTGACTAACAATTTTCATATCCTTACAAACTCTCTCTGCAACAGCTTCATCACCAAACCCGTCAACAAATATGATTGGTGTAATCTCCAACGGAAGCACCCATTCATCTTTCAAGTCATACTTATTTCTAAGATCAGGCTTCATCTTCAAGTTGTGCAACCAGATGTAATCGAGCGGCACATCACTAGGTACACTGGTTAGAATTCCTGTTCCTTTGTCAACAATCCGGGTGTTGGTTGTTGCCGGCATTGGAAGAACATGAAGAATTTGACGAAACGACATCGGGAATTTCAAAGGAAGCCCAATCAAATCAGACCCTGTCAGCTCGAGTAAGCAACTGGTCTTCTCGGGGATTTTAGATAGCCCTTGGTATGCAAGGTTAAGGGCAGCTCGATGGCTAAGCACCAAAACATCAGTATCGTTGATTTCAAAGGCTCCATATCGACCTTCTGGTGACACCCATGCATTTGTCAACCCATACAGCGTCTCGGGCCTCGAAGTCAGGGCAGCCAAAAACACATTTTTACCCTCCAAAGCTGCTTTCATCTTTGGAGAGTTGAATGGTGCTACCATCTCCATCTTAATGAGAGTGTATTCCTGAGGTTGAACCCCTTCCCCTATTGTTCTGTCATGGTCTGCACATGGTTGACCATCTAAAGGAGAGAATATTGTATGTCGAGCTTCCTTAACTATCTTCCCCATTGATTTCAGCTTGTTCATTTGCCACCTTACAAATGAATCAAAAAATGGGTTTATTTCCGTAGTAACAAAGGACCGTCTCCAGTCGCAACCTAAACCGAAGGCCTTAAGATCGTCCATGGCAACATGAGGAAAGTAACTCAACCATTTTTGTGGATCTTTAAACTTTGATATTTCACTGTCTTGAATGCCAAGATCACGCATAATCTCCCACTGGTACTTCAGCCTATTATCCTCTTCTAAGTTTGGAAATAGTGGAGGATCACCATACTGTTGGATTTCCCTTGCAATTTTATCGGCTGCTGCCTTGATCGGCATGCCAGTGCAGTGAAAAGCAAATGGCAGCAACACATTCATACCATTAAGTCTATGGTATGCAGCTGCAAATTCGAGCTTTGAAATCGAGAAGCCGTGTCCGAGGTGTAAGACACCGTTCATATAGGGGAAAGGAATATTGCCAAAGAACTTCTGCCTAAGTTGGGGAGGCTCCTGACAAGAATCAGCATTGAAAACATCGGCTTCTTTCCACCATGTCTGAGTTGTGGACTCAATCTCCAACAATGTGTTTCTTCTTGCATGGCTTATTGCCTTATTAGTCATCATCCTAGTCATAAAACAACATGGAAGTTAATGATGATAATAATGAGGACAACATAATAGGCTAGACAAGCATAGTTTTCTGAAAGCCCAAACTTAGCAACTACTACCGGGAAGCAAATGAGCCAAAAACAATAAAAACCAAACGCAATAAGAACATAATAAGCTAGAAAACATTTTTAACTAATGTACGGTATGAGACATTCTTGAAGACAGGGTGTTTTTATGACTTGAGACATAGTGTCAATGTGGCACTATGGACCACACCATTTATTTTAAGAAAGAAGAGTCCCAAAAATGTATGATATATGTATTGATGAGAATATGTAATTATGCATATATCATTGCTTGCATAGAATCAAACTTGTCAATCACTAAAGGGATGAAATAGCAAAGTCTGGCTTATCTAGACCATGGGCCGTGCTCATAATGTAAATGGTTGTTGTTCTAAACCCAAACCAACCTATAGACTGAGATGTGTGATAACTTCCCTCTTACTTCCATTTCTTTAACCTTCGGAGATCATTGAGAAGTAAGAATTAATGAATAAGCATCTTTTCTAGATTAGAACTCCTACGTTGAATGTTTGCACACATATTTTTTTTAAACCCTAGACGGTGGTGTTTACATATAGATTTCGTGAGAGGCAAACAAATACACAGAATGGGTAGCACAAATCCTAAAATTAAATTACACGCCGGTTCAATTTTATATATCAAGTTAACACAAATTTAAGATGAAGTACCTGTGAATAATGGATGTGCAATTGCACAACACCCTCGGCTTGGAATGGAAAAAATGCATCTTTTATCCCGTGTCCAGATCGCCGACAATTCTCCCGAATCCAAAAGGAATGGCCCCTCGCAACTTATTTACAATTCATCACTGCAACCAAATCAGTATCCCTCTTATTTTGGTCCGTCTTTTTCTTCATCTTTTTCCTTATACAATAAGAACTGCATGCAGAAAACAACCTTCAAACGGTTAGATTGACCATCGGCAGCAGCATTCACCCATCACATGAGTCAAAGGTGAATAACACACAAGTTTGTTATAAAACATAGAAAGCAAACTGAGCATCAAAAATTTTGAAAATTTGCAACTTAAATACTCCGTACTACTTTTAAGTCCTCAAATTAGTCATATTGTCAAAGTCTGTAACTTGAAATCACTATATCATATTACTTCTGTATCCAGGGCTGGTCCGAAACATACAAGGGCGTGAAATAAAAATTGCATCCCTATTCTACCTTATAGTTGTAAAATTGAAATAAATTTCATAATAATTATAGTATTTGTTACAATGAAAATTTGAAGAAAAATACTCCGTCCCACTTGAATCTTTATGTACACTATTCGCAAGGTCAAACTTTATATACTTTGTTTCCCTATTCTCATTACTCATTTGATAACATAATGTAATCATGTCACCTCTAGTTTCGTAGATCTTTTGATGTAGTTTTTTAATATATAATTTTTATTTTTTAATTTTACACCTGCAATCAAATAAATTGATTTGAAAATAAAGTTGGTCAAGCATTGTAACGCGGACTGGAAAGATTCAAATAGGATGGAGGGAGTAATATACACAAGTTTACTTAAAAAGAGACATTCTCTTTGCATATTTAGATGCAAAATCATCAATCAAGCTACTCCGTATTAATTTCTATTTCTTCTAAGCTGTCACATTCAATTGATATCAAAGCCAATCATATCATGATTATCTAAACTTTCAACAATGTTCCCACCACACTAATCTTCTAAAACATCATCATCGTACAAATTCACAGCCTCCTCTTGTTTTTGTTTGCGCTCGTGTGATTCTTTTAAAATTAATTTGTAACGTTCTCCCTTCTGAAATTGTCTATGTTCTTCAAATTTGGGGTGGGCAAGAACCCGATCTCGTTGTCCCGTTTCATTTGGGACGACAAAAATTTGTCTCGAACCCGTCCTGAACAGATTGAAAAATGGAATAGGACCAGGACAAACAAAAAGTATCTTGTTTGGTCTCGTTGTCCCGTATATTTATGTATAAACCCAATTATTCATTCATATAACTTTTTTATCCAATTTGAGAATGTATTAACAATGTTTGTATAAAATTTTCACGTCTGTTGTGGACTGTTTCGGCCCATACCTACCCCTACTTCAAATCTTCTTTTCTTTTTATGCTTGTCATGGCCTGATTCTCATTTTCTAAAAACCATAACTACAAGACTTTTTTAAAAAAATATATTAGAAACAAGTATATAAATAACAACAACAACAACATTACCAGATGACCCATTGCGGGGTAAGGGGGGTTGGATGTAGGCGTCTGACCCTATGTTTAAAACATAGAGCGACTGTTTCCAGATGACCCATGATGAGCGTTGAAAGTTGCATTGAGTAAAATATAGTTTACAATTGCAAGAAGCGCAAACCGTTTAAATAGCCAATTTCCTTTATTTCATCATACCCCAAAGCCAAAAAATAGTGAATATTTGACTACATAGGGGAATAGAAATTGTTAAATAAATATTGGTAAAATAAATAATAATTACGTAGGGCCCTACCAACCAGTTTTTTTATAAAATATATTTCAAAAATTGAATTAAGCTCCAAACTTCTTAAATTCTCATTGAATTCATTCTTTTAGTTTTATTCCAGTTCAACTCTTTAAATTTGTTTAATGTGATTTAGTTTTCTTTGTTAAAAAATTAAAAACAAAATAGGACAAAGAACACACTCAAAGGCTAGACAAAAAAAAGAAGAAGAAATCAGAAAATAATTCAAAAAAGAATATTTACAAACAGTAGAACACAATTACACAAGTTATAGCAATCCTTTTTTTAACACTCCGTCATACGAGAGTTAATTTCTTCGAACACTTTAGATGCTCGGTTCAGGTGAAAAAGATAAACCTGTCCAAAGCATCGATTTGGGTGGATTTGACCCAATATATTTAGGATATTCCCCTTATGGTATGTTTGGGAACATGGATTTGGATTTCAAATTCGGATTTGGCTCAAATTCCATGTTTGGAAAACTTAAAAATTTTGAATTTGGATTTGAGTCAAATTCTTTTCATTCATAACAAAGCTTAATTTAAAATCCATGCACCTCCCCTTGTCATTTGAAATTTAAGATTTCAAATTTTGGAATTGAAATGCATGAATTGAAATGAAATGCTAGTTGCCAAACACTACCTTAAGTTTTTCGTTACTTCTGATACCTCGTTTAGTCATAAAACCGCTTAGATCCACCAAAATGGGTACCAGTTGTTCCTCCCTTCAGCATAAGTAGGCGAGTAAAACTGAGCCTGCCGAGTGCCGTCATATTATAGTTTGCCAACAGCCCAACACGATTAACCTACCAGAGTCATTATTTCTCAAATGTTCCATCGCACTCCTCCGCCTGTCCAAAGCAATCCGGTACTCAGCTACAAACTCTCTCTTGTCCAAGTCCAAATTAGGCTCAAACATCAGAACTGGCCTGGCATTTCAATGTGAGAACAACAGAATTAGGCCTTCCCCATCAGAAACGCCCTCTGTCAAACCCCAAACTAATTAACACCAAATTCCCAAATTTATTAATGATTTAAAAAAAAGTGATAGAAACTATCAACTAACCAGCAACGGCGAATTCCTCTTATTGCCGGCGGTGACGTTGTTGAGAAGGGCCTCTATCAAACCCCAAACAATTGACACCAAATTCCCAAATTTCAAAGAAATTTTAAAGAAATTCTCACATTCAAATGCCGGATCATTTCTAATGTTTGAGCCTAATTTGGACTTGGACGAGAGTGTTTGTAGTTGAGTACCGGATTGCTTTGGTCAGGCGGAGGAGCGCAATGGAGCATTCGAGAAATAATCACCTTGATACGTTAATCGTGTTAAGCTGCTGGCAAACTATGATATGGCGGCGCTCGGCACGCTCAATTTTTCTCTGTGGGGAGACTACTTATGTTGTAGGGGAGGACCAATTTGTACCCATTTTGGTGGATCTAACCGGTTTTATGACTAAACGAGGTGTCAAAAGCTGAGAAGAACTTGGGGGAAGGTCCTAAATATATTGGGTCAAATCCACCCAAATCAATACTTTGGATTGGTTTATCTTCTTCACCTGAACCCAGCATCCAGAGTGTTCAAAGAAATTAACTCTCTCGTATGATGGATTTTCGAGAGCCCCGCCATTGTAGGTCACTTCCTCTGTGGCCTCCCGAGACCGGGTAATAAGATGAAGTGAATGAACATGAAGGTGTTAGAGCATATCCCCGCTATAATTTGGAAAGCTAAATGTTCTTTTAGCTTATCAACAGTGTTATAGCAATCCATTTTTTAACACCAACTCCAATCATATCATCTACTCCATGCTTTTCACAATGAAATATTATTCTAAAATTACACCCATTTCCAATGAATATCCGTACAATCCACCAAATTTCACATCAATGAACAACGACTTGATTTCCAAAAATCATTACAATCCACCATTTTTTAAAAGCAAAAACAGATCGAATGAACACTGGAGCAGACAAAAGAAAAAGGGAAAAGGAAACAAAAAAAAGAGCTGCGTACCTTAGGAGATAGCTTGGCAGATCAAAGAAGCAGACTAGGGCGGATGGAAATTTGATGGAAGGAGCTGTATGAACTCGGCTCTGGTTGTGCGCTGCTGAAGAAGACGAAGGAGGCAAGGAGCAGAGGCGAAAATTAGAAAAATAAACAGAAAATTAATGGGAGGTGACAGATTTTGTTGTAAAGACTCGGAGGTACCTCAATTTTTCTAAAACACAAAGGCATTTAAAATTTATTGTAATTACTCAGTGGTTTCTAGTTTTTTTATTTAATGTCACGAACAGCGTGGTTTCTAGTTTTTTTATTTGGAGATAAACTGTTACTATGTATCCATGATACTATTTTTGTTTTTTTGGTACATCATTGTACATGTTGGTGTAGCTACATCTACCCATATTTGGGTTATTTTTTGGTGAATGCTTGTATTTTTTGTCCCAAGCAATGTGCCTACTGATTCTTCAGTGTATGAATATGGTGAATGTTTTTTTGTCTCTTATTTGCTGCAATATGGTTAGTCCATTGCCCCCCTGATGGTCAGTCCAGTGGCAAGCTACTGGAATTACTTTCCTTGCTGCAGTTCCTTCTTTTGATGTTCCTCATGTGGACATTGTCATGGAGTCATACATATATGCTGAATTTCTTTGTCTTGTGGTGTATGTTGTGAGTCCAGCCCCATTTTTATTTGGGTTCCATTTTTCTTTGGTGGAGGACCCAGTTTTGGAAAAATATTTTTCTTTGCTTTGTTGACCAAAAGAAGGAGAGATGAGGTGTTGGGTTGCTGTGTGCTGACCGTGGAGACAAAACTATTGGAACTGAGAAGTCCGGATCCGGAGAAGTCCGGATCCGGAGAAGTCCGGATCCGGAGAAGTCCGACTTCCGAGGAATCCGGATTCCGAGATATCCGAATTCCGAGAAATCCAAACTTGAGAAGTCCAAATCCTTTGATGACCGAATCCCATTCTAATTAGGATTGATCTTGATTTATTTGTTTCCTAGTTTGATTATGATTTGTTTCCTTGTAGGATTTGTATTTCTTGTCTATTTTGGAATCATCCTCTCCTATAAATAAAGGAGAAACCCCTTGTAACTAAACGGAATAATTAAATATACAGAATATTTTCTCTCTTATCAATTTCTGCATGGTATCAGAGCCCGATTCCTAGGAAAACCCTAATCTAGACAAACGACAGTCCATCACCGCCGGAATTTCCTTCTTGAACGTCGACATGGCAGAAGTAGAAGAAAATCTCGTCGGCAAGCTCTTCGAAGAGGAAGAGAAGATCCCTACGAAGGGAAGTTCTTACGAACTCAAGAACGCAGACACACCTAGATTAATTATCACCCAAGTCAAACTAAACAGTGATAATTATGAAGAATGGGCTCGTGCAATGAGAATTGCATTCCGTGCAAAACGGAAAATTGGATTCATCGACGGATCCATCCCTTGTCCAGAAGAGAGAGATGAAAACTATGAAGAATGGTGGATTGTGAATGTCATGTTGGTCTCATGGATTTACAACACAATTGATGGCAGCCTGAGAAACTCCATCACACAGGTAGAAGAAGCAGCAGAACTATGGAAGGATATCCAAGATCGTTTCTCTGTTGCAAACGGTCCTCGAATTCATCAACTGAAGAAGGAACTTGCAAATTGCAAGCAAAACGGTCAGTCCATCGTTACGTACTTTGGAAAATTAAAAACCATATGGGACGAACTCGGCGATCATGAAAAAATCCCCGCTTGCAAGTGCCATGGATGCAAGTGTGGGATAAGCAAAGCGCTTGTCATCTAACGTGACAAAGAAAAGGCTCACCAATTTCTGATGGGATTAGATAACGAAGGATATGGGAGTCTACGGTCTAACATCATCGCCACAGAACCCTTGCCACCACTGAATCGCGTATACTCCACCATCATCCAGCAGGAAGGGGTCTTGAAGACTACTCAAGAGGAGGAACGTAACCCGGTGGGCTTTGTCGTGACCTCCAAATT